GAACGGTGGATATGACTGAGACAGAGGTCACCGTGCACTCATTGACTGACGACTTGTGATTTGCCAATAAGCACACCAGGGTAATCCTTTCTTCTGATTCTAATAATAATTGTATTTTGTCATGATTTATTTCATGACCCGAAATTAACAACTCATCAGTGATGTATCAGTGTTTATTGAAGTCGCAAAGAGAGGGTCTTTCCTTATCAGCCTATAGGGTCTTGGAGCCAAAGTGATTGCTTTTTTATTTTGACTCTACTTTTTTAGCCGTGGACGCTGGAACTATTTTTTGCACTGTCTATGCGCTCACATGCAATATCCAGGTGCTGATTTAATTTAGGATGGTGTCTGCTTTAAAAACTACTGTATTTTTTTTCACAGATAAATCCAGGCCTGAATGTCCCTCGGTGAGCCTTGAGTTAAAACAAGGTTTGAAAAGCCCCGACTTACCCAGAAGGAAAAAATAAAAAATGTTTTCAGGAATAACCTAGAATCACGACCCTTCTGTTTCCTGTTTTTAATAGTACAACAGCCTGGCTATTTTGGGAACACAAAGCAGTTAAAAGCTGGTTTGTTTCCGCATGAAGTGAAGGCTCTGAAGAAAACGTATTCCTCTTCATGGTTTGCTGAATGATCTGAACCATACAGGATCTGGAATGAAACCTAGTGCTGTTTGTGAAGACGTGACATTTGTGGTTGACTTTGTTGACGTATGATTTTTTTTTCTTTTTTTTTTCTTTTTTTTTTCTTTTAAAGGGATGAAATTGACATTTACAGTCAGTGATGTTGTGCTGACGGCAGGACAAAAACCAAACGCCCAGTGTTCCAGAGCATTGGGGCTGAAAAACAGAGCTCAGCATTCATGCAGTCAGTGGACGGTGGGCAGCTCCTCACAGGAATGCCAGGAGCTCCTGAACCCCACTGACTGCCTCCTCCAACACAAAACTGCTGTTACTCGGCATACTAAACATTCGAAACCTCCTCTTTTGTATTTTTTATATTTTTAAATATAGAAAAGACAAATATTTTAATAGTGAATTTTGAAAGCAAATGGCTCACTGTTTTAAGAATGTTAAACTTGAGCTTTGATGATGAATTTGAAGCCTATTTCACACCAGTTTGCTGTTCTTGTGGACCTCAGGGTTACTGGTTGTCCTTTGCGCCACAAAATAAAGCTCCTTTTGTCAGAGATTCAGCTGACATCCAACTCCACCAACCTCAACAGTCTTGTGAGCAGCAGTTGATCTTGCAGTTGATCTTGTAGTTTGTCCACAGACTTGAATTTCACTCTATGCTTGGATATTTTGAAACCTACGGGCCATGTTTTTATGAAATGGTAAACGTGCCGTGGATAGGATTGCACCACCACATTCCCGACATTGTGTTTTCCCTTTCCCTTTGTTTTTGGTTCTTTCTTTCCTTCTTTGTGTCCTTTTATTGTGTGTGTGTGTGCTCTTTGAGTCATAAATAAATGCTCCCATTCATATTTTAGGGAATTAAATTTCAGGATCCAGTTTCAGACAGTACAAAAGAGGAAATATCACGTTAGTAGGATACGTGACAAGGGAGTTTCAGGCTAGTGCAATGTTGTGATAAACTTGGACTATCTCCAGCACGTTATCTGGAAGATCACTGTTTTTATTTTAGACTTGCCTTTCCAGTCGTCTGTTTGGACTTGCTCCTTGCGCAACCACAGTGATCATATCTAAGATGGATGAATGTTGATGATAGAAGATGAAGTAATGTTCCTGCACATTGTGCCAGCAGACTCAGTTGTATAACAGCTGGCCGGCCCCTGCAATAGAGCTGAATTTGCCTGTGTTTTGCATTTATGACTAAACGCATTATGGAGCCGGTGTTGTGCAGTACAAAAACTGCTATTGTGCGTTCAACCCTTTGTTGTAAAACAACTGAAAAGCGCTTCATTTGCTTTGATGCCACTGTGGTTCAGCTCAAGTAAGAAGTTTGTACGTTTTCAAAGTTGAAGGAGCTTTATTTCGCCTCTCACCTCTGCCCGTCCCACCTATTTAAATTCCTCCCTTTTAGAATACGTGAAGTGTTTTCTAATGGAGTTTATGTAAACTGGCTGGTGCCATTGTTGCTGAAGTTTTCCTGAGCCTCAGTTGTTTAATTTGAAACAAGCATTAGTGCTGTTCTCTTTCCAAACTTCTGCTTATAAGCCAGTGAAATATTTCTAGTTAAGATAAAAAATTTCAACAGATTTTGATATACCATGAGCTAGGGCTGCACGATTAATCGTTAGAAAATCGCGATCTCGATTCATACTTATGTGCGATCTCATTTCCAAATGACAACGATTTAAAAAAAGAAAAAACGACAACGATTGTACCGCATTTTGATCCGGGACGTAATCTGCATGAAAACAAGCGCTCACTCTTCCTGCTCAACAAATGACAAGGGCGGATCCTTATACCACGTGATACAGAAGCTGTGCCGTGTGATGCTAAAATTAGCAGGGGAAAAACAACGGAGAGCACGTCAGGGATGACGAGAAAGTGACAGGAGAAAATCCGTCCCGGTCAACCACCCAAACATCAATAACGGGAACCTTATACAGCGCTTCCCTATACCCGTCGAACTCCCGCAGGCACAAAGAAATTACAGAGGCTATCACTTATCACCTGACCAAAGATATGGCTCCATCAACACTGTGCAAAACGAGGGATTTAGGAAAATGATCAACACCCTAGACAAACGCTACACAGTGCCGTCCCGCAACTATTTTTCTATTGTTGCACTACCTGCTCTATACACGCAGTGTTGCGCAACGGTGGAGACGGAATTTCAAGCAGTACAACATTTTGTGGCAACGACAAAACGTGAGACATTTGTTGTTTTTATGTTTATTTGTTGTTTTTATGTTCAGTCTCAACTGTTACGAAGTTGATGTGCAGTTAATAAGTGCAATAAATATTTATATTGGAAAAGAAAATCGTGAGAGAATCGTGATCTCAATTCTAAGCCAAAAAATCGTGATTCTCATTTTATGCAAAATCGTGCAGCCCTACCATGAGCCCTATAATAGATGTCAGGCGCTGTCGACTAACGAACCGTAATCTCTAAACGTGCCGGCTTATGAATATATCAAATCTGTAGGCAAGAGATAAGCCCTTCAGGTTTTCTATTTAAGTCAGGCTTCTGTTGACTAATCATGTCTAGATGTCAGTTTGGAGAACAACAGAGGGAAAAACCCTTCTGAAAATTAACGAGTCAGCAGACTGGAATTATCCTTGGAAATCTAAAAATGCGTTTCCAGCTTAAAAGCTCTGGTGTTAACAGGCTATGCATTTCCTCTTCTCGTTCTCAGGCTTATGAGCGCCGCTTCCCTACTTGTCACCTCATCCCCATGTTTGTGGCGAGTGACGTTGTGAATGAGGAGACCAGTGAGGATGGTTCCACCCAGAAGATTGAGCGCCGCTGTGCCCTGGATGTGGATGCCCCACGCCTTCTCAAAAGGGTTTGTTGTACTTTAGATTTCCAGCAATTGAGTATCATAAATATAGCTTTAATGCTTTACTAATGACTTTTAATATTGTTTTGAGAACAATACATTTCAGTACTCGCCATGATTGTTTTCTTTTACAGAATGCATTAGCTAATAAAAGTGTTAATTTTTGCAAAGGTAGTTTATCTTTAATTTTATTTTCAGTGTCTGTGTTTCATGCCAGTTGCATTTATAATACAAGTTCTTTTGCGGCTTACAGATTGCAGGTGTAGACTATGTCTACTTCATCCAGAAAAACACACTGAACCGAAAGGAGAGGACTCTGCACATTGAGTCCCACAATGAGACCTTCTCCAACAGGGTTGTTGTCCACGAGACATGCTGCTATTCGGTATGTAGCATACTGTCAGCAATAGACATTTCAAGCAAAGAACAAACTGTTAAAATCCCTCACTAATTTTAATGAAAGTCATTTCTCATGCACTTGTTTCCGCGCAGCTGCTGTTTTTAGCTTTAAGTAGACTCCACTCTCCTGGTTTTGCTCTACACCTAGCATGCTGACTTCTGGCATAGAAACTCAACCCTTTCACTGAAACTGCTGGAAAAATGCTCAAGAAAATGTCTTTCATGACCAGTAATGATCCTTACCACAAACACTGAGTTAGTTCAGAAAACAGACGTTTGAGGTTTGTACAGGTGATCAATATGGGGCTTCCAGAGAGTGATCTAAAAATAACTGCAAGGTTTCTTTAATGCACGTGTACTAGAACCTTGTCTCCACTTATTTTGTTGGTCCTGTACAGCCAAGGTACATCGCAACCAATTTACATTACCATTTCCTGGTTTAAAGTAACATATTCATTTTAAGGTGGGAGAAGTGTGTATAAATTATACAAAGCAGGCTGTAACATGAAAGTGTGTATTCCTGGGGCAGGTTTTCCAGAGGCAAACTAAAAGCCAGATCCTGGCAGTGTGACACGCTCAACCCGTTTGGCTATTTAGGCTGACTTGTGCATACAGACAAATGAGCAAACACTGACATGTTCTGTAACGCTGTTGTTCACCTGCTGAATGGCAAGCTGCCACCAGCACAGCCATGTTGATGTTTGTGCCTCCTGTAATCTCTTCCCTGCATCCATGTTCGGACTACCACTGAGCCCGCTTCTGTTTATCTCGGCCCATCTTTCCTCGTGAATTATTTAGTCGTCTGCATTCTGCTTGGTTACTCACAAAATACTGAAACGAAACCATGAATGCATGTGTGCTGAGTTAATGAGGTCAAGCACATTGTATTAGCCTGCAACCAACTGGAGTGCTAATTTTAGGTCTAAGGCCAAACAGAGGCTTATACTGTGTACTTTAACATGCTGTGATAACAGTAACCAGGATGGACAGTGCTGTTAGACTGAGCTAATGGACCGGGCTAAAGATGAAATATTTTGGTAGTCAAGGGTGACCAAGTTAGCATCATTATGGCTTTAGAAGCGTGTGACTCTTTATTTACTGATATTGTAGCTTGAATCAAAATGACATTTTTGTTAAAATACATTTAAAAATGTTTTTTGTC